CATAAACAGTTGCTCCAATTGTTAAAATCAAGAAACGTCAACTTTCGCAAAGTACGCAAGAAAGTCCTGTCTTCCAACAATTCTGGTTTTTCACCTTCCTCTGAAACGCTGCAAGTTTAATACCTCTGTCTACAGCAGATAAATCAAGCCAAATATGCAGGAGGTGTTAACTCAGAAAACTTTAAGTATTGACTGCTTGGGCTTTATCGCGGGCGGGTCTGTTTCTAAAAATTTTCTCCGGTTAATAAACGGACAACTTCTTGCACGTCCCATTATCAGTCCTCTATTGAATAAAGTCCTACTCACGTCCTCTGTATTTTGAGTCACAATATCGAAGCATGAAAAACGCCACAAGTTCTTCTGAGAGCTTGTTCATTAGGACAATTTTTAGAACGTGATCGTTCGTTACTTGATAATATCATGGAAATTTAAGAATATCAAACATTGTGCTTTACGGGCTGCAGTTATTCAACCTCCTGGCTTTTCAGGAATGCAGCTTTTGAGGCTGAACAAGAGAACGGAGAAGACTGTTTCTTTCAAGATATGTCTCAAGATTTACCTTTGTTTAAATCGTTACTGACCGGTCATTGGAAACTCCTTGCCGCCATGCAAAGTTCCCTGCTGCTATTTCTATGCGTCGATAAATCTCTCTATCACAGCCTCCGTATTGTTGACAGTGGCTGAACCAAAATATGTGAAACGATAAACTTTTCCCACTGTTTCGCCACTCCATTTGACTCAACGGCGTTGGTTACTGCAGTGACTTTATCATTTTAGCATTTGACCCGTACGCCTCGTCCTCCTTTAGCCAACTTGTTATCTACACATCGACCGTTCGTTTGTTTACAGCTCCATCCTGCCCTCTATACTGGACGGTTAAAGAAAGAGTACGACGTATTTCGCCTGGTGATCACCGTCTGCCGTCATTCGTCTCCATAGTAAAGAGACGTTAATGGCTAACGAATTAAGGGTGAAATCATAATCATGTACAGTACTGTACATTACAGTATATTTTTCTAAACTTAATATGCTTGAAGCAAATAGGTAGCTTATTAATCGGAAATGTCCACTGCTGAAAATAGCTGTACCACAACATAACCGAAAATGCGAATGTTCAACCTGCACGTATGAGTGATCGTACTAGCATGAGTAATTCGCATGTCATTTTACGAATTTTTGACCTCCACCGTCTCTACCTGTCTAATTTTCAAAGAAGGAAATTGCATGCACCTTCCGCCCGTGCATTCTTGAAGAATGAGCAAAAATTGGCAAGTTATTATTTATTCGATATGATGGACAAGTCCGAAAACCAGACAGCCAATGGATGTGAACTCAGATACTCATGAATAGCCTCCATCAGTGAAAAAAGAATGCAAGTACACGCTCGAGCTCGTAACGATGCTTCCTCAAAAAGCACCGACCGTCGAGGTCATCGAGTTTTGACGACTGTTTGACAAGTTCCGGTCATCTTGTTCAAGCAAATTTTACTTGCTCATTTACTGTTGATCTAACGATACCGCGTTGTGCCTACACGGAAGCAGTTAGTCAGAAATACAAGGCGCGGCGAACAACAGAGTCAACACGGGAAAAGAAA